TAATGATGTGTCTGAATATCAAATATCTTAGGCATATTATGGAACAGATATTTTCCATCAATATTGATATGTTAAACTTTAAGTCCCTACAGAATATGAAGAAAAAAATTAAAAATACAAAAAATACTTTAAAAAGTAGTGAATAAACACATATTTTTACACAGATATTTAGAAATCGAACCATATACAGCATTGTAGCAGGACACTGACCTTCATTTTTTAAAGGTGAAGCCATCCTCGGAGAATTCATAGGCACCCCAAAAAAGCTATATTTGGTTTCTATCTGAAGCCCAGTGTCTTCTACTCTGCTTGTGGAGTTCAAGTGATCATTATACAAGCTTGAAGCTCATTATTGGAAATGCTTTTGTTTTCTGATTGATTTGTGATTCCCTCCCCTCTCCTTTCCTCCATCCCCCTCTCTCTCCTCACCCCTCTTCTGTCTCTTTTTCTTTCTTTCTTTTGAATCCGGGGGCGTTACCCAGTTCTTTACATGTGCTAAGAATGTGCCCTTCCACTGAGCTGTATTCCCAGTCTTTATATTTCTTTCCTAGTACGTGTTTTGAGCAAGACATTTGTGGCAGCCAGAAAGGCCCAACTTGTGAGAGGAAATGACAGAAGAGGTAGTTCAAGGAAATGAGGGAGGCCAACATGCCACCAAATGTTTTGCTCGCAGGGAAGGCAAACACCGAAAAGAAATGCATGTAATTATATAAAGACCAATAGAGATTGGCCTGGCGATTTTAAAATTGTCCAAGGCATCCTAAGAAGGGAAAGAAAACACAAAACATAAACATACAAGACTTTATATTTTAAGAGTAAAAAGAAGCCAAGGTGATTAAAAATGTTCTGAGATTTTTTTTTTTTAATTTTTTTTATTGGGTCAGCCAGATAGTTCAGCAGACTAAAGCACTTGCTTAGGTAGGTGCAGGGACCGGGGTTCAATCCCCAGCATGCCATGGAAGCCCCACCTCTGGGGTGGGCTGAGCCTGTGACACAGTCCGGGAGTGGTGGTGCACAAGTGTAATCTCAGAGCTTGGGAAACTGAAAAGAACAGAAGGATCACTACAAATCCCATCTGTGTATATATATATAGGTATATATATATATTTGATACAGGGTCTCACAACACAGCTTGGACTCATAATGACTCTCTTGTCTTGACCTCCCCAGCCCTGGGATTACAGACATGCACCACCATGCCTGGTTTCAGTGGCCAGCGTAGCTCCCGGGGTGGGCAGGGTATGTGCTAACAGAGATTGAACTGGGCTCCTTGTACTTGCCAGACAGGCTCTTAGACCACTGAGCTATCTCCCCAGCCTGTGCTGAGATTTTTTTAAAGCTCTAAATATTACAGTAGGTTTCTCTGGACTTATTAGTCTACATAATCCCTTCCTCTCTGTGGTAAAGATTTAGCTATTATAAGAATATTAACCTGCCCTGAGGTTTCCTTACTGATAAGTTTTGCTCCAACTGTTCTCTGCCATGTTAAATTATTATCAGAGATGTGATCAGAGTTGAGAATTAAATTTCCTGGTAATCCAGGCTGAGATAAATGGCTTTCAGAATATATAATTAAAACTAGGATCATTTCACTGTACAGATAAAAAGTGGCTCAATTCAATGTTTATCAGTGTCTGCACAAGATATCTCTGTACTGTTTGTGGTATGTGCATTTTTGTGTTTGGGGGGTGGTGCTAGAAGCCAAGCCCAGGGACTCGTGCATGGCAGGCAAGTGCTGTACAACTGAACAATACTTTCACCCCCTCTGTGCTACTTTCCTTGTATAACTGTGCCCCAATTCATATTTTTCATCGGGGGCTACTGTTGCATGGTGTCAGGCTCAAGCTGTGGTAGGCAGCATAAGGAATTTAGCCTGAGTTCATACATAGAGTGGTGCAACTGTGCTCCCTAACTCCTCCCAGCCAAGAAGCCGTAGTAAAGTTGGCATGTTGAGAGAAGAAGAGAAACCCCGTCCTAGAATGGCTCTGAAGTAACCACAAGGTCTTTACATTGGATTTAAATACCTGCTCTCTGAGTCCTTCAGCCTTGTGAAGCGTACTCATTTTGAATCTGGTGCAAACACACTAGCTCTAACTCCAGAAGCAAGGTAGGCAAGCTGCTGTTCGGTGGCCCTCCACTTCTGCGAGCAATGCAGTTTTGTCTGTAAGTTTTCTTGGAAGATAGCCACTGCCACTCATCTACACATTTCTGTGGCTGCTTTTGTCAGAGATGAGTGGTTATGAAAGAAGACAGCCTTGAAAGTCATATTTACTCTTGTCCCTTTGCAGGGAAACTCACTACCTTGATCTAGAGAATATGTGCTCTGGTTTTATCCACTAATCTGTATAAAAACTGCTCATATTGGCTGTTTCAAATTTTAAAATTTTAGATGCTTTAATAGACATCAAGTGGCATCTCATAGTAGTTTTAATTTATAATTTCTTGCTGTGTAATGGCAGCAGGCAGGATTTTTATGTTTATCCGTCATTTAGAGATTTTGTGTAAGTATTTGTACTTCGTTAATTTCATAATTTTATGAAATTTGCTAGCTTACTGTAATGGTTGGTACATTGTATGAACTTGAGAAGTTTAAAAGGTTAACTAAGTAGTGTGGCAGGGGGCAGGGTCCTTCCTTTGTAAACCTCCTGAGCCTGGGCAGGAGAAGGGCATCGAGATGGTGTGAGGATAAAGGACCCACCTAGGCGGCTCGGCCGGACACAATAAAAGGAAAATGAGGAAGAGCTGACGCCTGTTTCAGAGCTGCTCCGGTCTTCAGCCTTCTGGTGTGGATTCTTCAGCCCTCCATGGGCCTCCTGATACGACTTGCACCGGCACTGAGGTGAGCTCCAGACTTGGACTGGGTCCTTCCGCCTCCAGGGTGCAGACGCCTCGGCTTTCTCATCCAACTCTGTGGCTGACCGTCATAATCCAAGCTTGTAGTTCCTCACACATTTGTGTTTCTTATGCTATATCTGTCTCTGTACTAAACCCTGACTGATGGTTTGGTGCCACTTACCTTTCATTATCGTTGACTTGGAGGATTTTGCTTTCAGTGCCAAGTCTAATTCCATTTGGATATACATTTCAGGTTTCCTAATCATGACTTTGATGAATAATTATCTTTGAAGAGGTTTGATATGCATCAGTCTTATTTATTTATTAATATGTATTTAGTACAGGGTCGACAGGGTCTCACTACACAGATTGAATTTGTAGTGATCTTTCCTGTTTTTCAGCCTCCCAAGCACTGGGATTACAGGCACACACCACCACACCCATTCTCAATCCATTTCAGTGTACCCCCCGGGGAGGGGGGGCTGACACAGCAGACCCGGGATCAAACCCCCAGCCCCTGCATCTGCCTAAGCAGGTGCTTTAACCTGCTGAGCTGTCTGGCCGACCCTTGATATATATCAGTTTTAAACGTTTTATATCTAGGACTTTTTGTGGTTTCTCTAATGATTCTATCTTATCCAGGATCATAAGGGCATTCTACTATTTTTTTTTTAATCAAAAGTATTATATCCTCAGTTTACATGTACAGGCCTATTACTTTCAATTTCAAATTAGCTTTTATTCTACTAAGGTGTAAAGAATTGCCAGCTACTGTATTTCAAGAGAAGCAAGTTTCCCATCCCTGCCCCACCATGCACCTTCTGTGTCTCTCACGTTGACCTCTGCTTCCACAGCGCCCTCTGCAGGGCACCCTTCACCTCTGCATTCCTCAGGCTGTAGATCAGGGGATTCAGCATGGGGTTGACAAGGCTGTAAAACAGGGACAGGATCTTCTGCTGCTCCTCAGGGTGGCGGGACTTGGGGGCCATGTACATGACAATGGCGCTGCCAAAGAAGAGCCCCACCACGCAGAGGTGGGAGGAGCAGGTGGAGAAGGCCTTCCTGCGGCCCTCCCCTGACTGGATCCTCAGGATGGCAATCAGGATTTGAGTGTAGGAGACCAGCACCAGGCACAGGGGTCCCACTAGGATGAACACACAGGCTGCAAAGATGACGACTTGGTTGAGCCTGGTGTCAGCGCAGGCCAGTTTGAGGACAGAGAGGATTTCACAGAAGAAGTGGTTGATTTGATTAGGCCCACAGAAGGGCAGCCTGAGGATGAGAACCACGTGGACCAGGGCCAAGAGGAAGCTAAATGCCCAAGAGGTAGCAGCCAAGGCAGCACACAGCGTCCAGCTCATGAGGACCGTGTAATGTAAAGGGTGACAGATGGCCACATAGCGATCGTAGGACATCACCACCAAGATCAGGCACTCTATGTGAGCAAAGGCCAAGTATAAAAATGTCTGCATTATGCACGGAATGAAGAAGATGGTTCTCCTTTGATTCACAAAATTCACCAACATCTTGGGGACGTTGTTGGAAGCATAGGACATATCCACAATAGCCAGGTGGGAGAGGAAGAAGTACATGGGGGTGTGCAGCCTGGGATCCAGGCAGATGATCCCAAGGATGATTCCGTTCCCCAGAAGTGTGAGGGCATAGAGGAGAGAGAATAGTCCAAAAAGGAAGCGCTCCAGGGCTGGGTCAGCCCGGAACCCCAGCAGGATGACCTCTGTGATCCAAGTCTGGTTGCTACCCATGCTCCTGTGACAAAGGCTGGCCTCCTCTGAGATGTTCCAGTCAGAACTGGGAAGCGCGGGCACCAAATATTTAGCGAATGTTACCCAATGAGCATGTAGAATTGTATCACTTAGGTTGGATTGCTTAGAAGGTATCTTCAGCTATGTTGCAAACACTAACTCAGTGTGCTCATTAAAATGTGAAATAAACCTGTGGGAATGGAATAACAGGAAAATGATATATGCATCAATATTATTCTCAGATATAATGTTAACATAATAGTGTCTTTTTAATGTGCTTTGTGTTAGAGCATACACATGCACATTTACACGCTTGTGTTGGTTTGGAGAATTCATGTGATCTGTCTTCCCTTTCTGAATGGACATCTTGGTTATTAATGAACTTTGCTCTTGTTGTTGTTTTAAAGTATGGAGCCCTTCACCAATTTGCGTACTCTCCTTGGGCAGGGGCCGTGCTAATCTTCTCTATATTGTTCCAATTTTTAGTATACATGCTGTCAAAGCAAACACATAACAAACTTTGCAAAGAGATGATGTGAACAGCACCCTGCAGTAGAGGAGGTTTCATTTTCTAGGCTTGATTGTTTCTGAGGACAAGATGAAATGGTCATGTCTTTACACATTTGCTCACTAATCACTTACCTTCTCACACAGTTTAGAGTGAAATCCTTTCTAAATAAAGTCCGATGGGTGTAGTTTCTCCAAAGCTCCCTAAAATTTTCTTCCTGGCATCCAGTCAGGATTTCCTGAGTGGGCTTTCTGCTGTTTTCCATTTCTCTTGGTTGTTCTACCCCTTTACTTTTTTCACCTGTGCTTGAAACTGAACTTTAACACTAAATGAAAAAGCTCTTTGGCCACATGAAATGTGCCCAAGTAATATTTTAAGAACTCTTAGGCAATATGATATATCTGCAGGCTCTTAAAGTAAGAAAATAAGTGGGAAACCAATTAATGTTAACAGTATTTACTTTAAAATTTATAGCGCTGAGGTTGCCCTATTTTTTGCCCATCTCTTTTTTTCTCCTTTTCCACATGGAATACAGTGACAAATCACAGAGGTGGTCTGAACTTTCATTACGATAGACTCTTTTGATCTTAATATATCCTCACAGCTCTGGCCTTCTAGGTGGCATCTCTGGTCACCACCAGACCCTCGGATGCCCCTTTGCTTCTGCCCATGCTTGCCAGAGTCTGTCCAGTTCCACTGGACTCTGAGCGGGTCCCAGAGATGAGAATGGTCAGAGTTCATGCTGAATTCTTTCCAGGGAGTTTTTCTTAGGAAAGCCCTGAGCCTTCCCCACCACCAGAGGAAGGCCCAGGAAAGGAAAGAGGGCAATAGAGTCACTTAGACACCACGTGGGCTGGGCGATCCCTCTCAGTTTGCTTCACATTTCTTCACCAACATCAGGATCTTCACTTTAAAATCACTCTAAAATCTCAAATCCAACAGAATATTTCCAAAAGCTATTTCAATATTGACTCTTTAGTAAAAACTTAGATTCTCAAGTATACTACCATTGAAATTGGCATGGAAATACACAGACCTTTTAAAATGACCATTTTCACTTAAGACAATGTTTTCCATACTAAACATGCATTATATGAGATAAACAAATATCAGTTTATGTGCAATATTACATAAAATAATGCAGTATTTTAGTATCATAATTATTGAATATTTATTTTCATATTTTATTTATATTTCTTTATGTCTCACATCATTGAGATAAACATTCTTACAAAACTATGCTTTACTCTTATTTATGCTTATTTCTACCAGCTATGTTATAAAAACATAACTGTAGTTGCTAAATATATATACATATAAACATGTATATATATATATTACTTCTTCAACTGTGCTTGAAACTGAAATTTAACCCAAAATGAAAAAGCTCTTTTGGCCACATGCAATGTGCCCAAGTAATATATTTTGTTATATATATTTTTTTAATATATATTATTTTCTTTTCTTTTTTCTTTCTTTCTTTCTTTTTTTTTGTTTTGTTTTGTTTTGTTTTTTGAGGCAAGGTCTAACTCTGTAGCCCATGCTGGCATCAAACTCAACAATCCCCTGGCCAAGTGCTGGGATTACAGGCATGTGCCACCATGCCCAGCAACTATTTTTAAGCTTCGATATCAGTTGTCAGTTGTTCTCAAAAAATATACACAATTCATTACATAGTAAAATAAATTTTGTAAGTCTGTGTCAACATAAGCCCCTTGGCAGTGTGTGAAAGCCCTGCCTCTTTATCCTATGGGCACCAGTACTAAGTGTTCCCCATTAAAACATTTGCCAATTTCATAAATGAAGGATTTCATGTGGTTGAGTGCATATTTTCACCAATTCCTTAACATGCTGGGAATGCAGCCTCTGTCTGCACCTTGTTCAGTGCTCTGGAGGATCGGCCATGGGTAGCAGAGACATCAGTCATTTCCACAGGACACAGAAGTGGAGGAGTGACGACAGGTACTACTTCCTTCTCCTCCATGCCTCACATTCAGTCCAGGGGCGAAAACTTCTGTCGCCCTCATGAATCGCTTTGAAAAGTACCTGCCCCTGCCAATTCCCTGACTTATATGATTTATGGAACAGGAAGCAGATGCTAAGGAGCCCCTTCCCTATTCCTTTTTTTTGGCCACATGTGTTTCCACCCCTTTGGGTATAAAATTTAAAGAAGCATGATCCGTCTCATTGGGGCTGAAGGTGGGATAATGGTTGTGATAGAGATTTTTCCTTTTAAAAGATACAGTATTTTTCAGGAAGTCTCATTAGTCAAGCATGTATTTTTAAATTTCTAACATGCTTCATTACCACTCCTAAACATCCAGGAGTAACCAAATATGTAAGGTAACTTTTGAGTTTGCACAGAACTATGAAGAAAATAAAACAGCTTGATTTAAGAGAGCTTTCTTCAAATGCTCAGGAAATCTCTCTTAAGAGGTGACATGTGACTGAGAATAAATGGTGGAAAGGCATCAGCTATGACAAGAGGACCATTCACTGTGCAAAGAACAGAGGAGGAACAAGGGAGTTCAAGTGTCCAGGCAGGAACCACTTGGTGCATTCTGGGAAGAGGAAGCACTTGGTGCATTCTGGGAAGAGGAAGCATTTGGTGCATTCTGGGAAGAGGAAGAGATCCAAGATTCTGAACCATACTGCACAAGTGGCTGCACATATTCATTATAACCATGTGCATATTTTCATATTATTATTATTATTATTATTATTATTATTATTATTATTAATGTATTTAGTGGGGTCTACAGGGTCTCACTACACAGATCGGACTCATAGTGATTCTCCTGTTTTCAGCCTCCCAAGCCCTGGGATTACAAGTGTATATGATCATACCCAGTCTAAATTGCTGTCTCACATGCCCCAGGAGTGGGGCCAGCACGACACGCAGGGATTGAACCCCAGTCACTGTGTCTGCCTAAGCAGGCACTTGAATCCACTGAGCTATGTGGCTGGCCCTCCATTAACATAAAAATTGGTGATGGATTAAATATATTTGGATGCTTTTATGATACAGAATATCATGCATCCATGAAAAGGATCATTTAAAACTTTAGTGACTACGTAACACCAACATAAGGTGCTAAAAACAATCTGATTCATACTTTTAAATGAAAACATCAGTATGCATCATTTTGCGTCTACATATGTTTAGGAAAATTTTGTTAAACTGAACATGAAACTGTTTCCACCAATTATCTTACACAGTAAAATGATGCTGTTACTTGTCTTTCATATAATTTGTTGGTGCCTTTGATTTTAAATAAGGTTTGTGCTGCACCAAAGAAAAAGAAAATGAGACATTTCTACTTGGGACAATTAAGAGTGTAATATAGTTAAAGGTGTACATCATTCCTGCTCCTCCAGCCACCAAGTTCAACAGAAATCTCTGGTCAGAGATGCTGTTAGCACTTGGAATGAAGAAATGACTTTTGCATTCGGTAAGACTTAATCCTTAATAAAACAGTGGAAATTGGAACTTCATTATCATGTGCCTTCATAAAGACACTTTACCCCTCAGACATTCCAATAAAGAAATGACCCAGATTATCCATTGAGATTATCTACTGTACATTGTAAACTTACAAGCAGAATGTAAATCATGTTGAAAATTATTATAACATCCACCTAATTATGAACAAAGAGTGCCAAGTTCCCATGTCATACAGGTTGCAAAATTGAACCTTTTCAAATGCATTTTAATGATTTTTAATTTTCTTTTCTCTAATGCACCTTCTGAGTATCTGCTGTTGTTATTCAAAGTAGGAATAATTTACCTAGAAAATGAAAGCTCCTCTCTAAGAGAGACAGAAGAGGCCCCAAGTGGGTTTCTTGGGGGGTCCTTGTGTCCTTCTGGTTAAAAAACAGACACAAGAATTTGGAAGGGCTGGCGAGATAGCTGAGTGGACTAAGGTGTCTGTTTAGGCAAGCACAGGGACTGTGGTTTGATCCCTGGCATCCCGTGCCATGCCCCCAGGGTGGGCTGAGTGGGCCACAGAGTCCAGGAATAGTGGCATATTTCTATAATCCCAGTGCTGGGGAGGCTGAAAACAGGAGGATCACTATGAGTCTGAACTGTGTAGTGAGACCCTGAGACCCTATATCAACCAAATACATTAAAAAAAAATTGGAAAGGCACAATTTGTTTCTAAAGACAGTTTTTTTTTGGGGGGAGTTGGCTTTGTTTTGTTTTGTTTTGTATTTTAGGGAAGGTTCTACAGGGTGTTCAGGGTCTCACTACTAGATTGGACTCGTAGTGATCCTCCTGTTTACAGCCTCCCAAGTGCTGAGATTACAGGCATGCACCACCATGCCCAGTCTCAACTGCCATCTCAGTATGCCCTGGGGGTGGGGCCGGCATGGCATGCTGGGGATCGAATGCCCAGCCCTTGAGCCTGCTTGCAGGTGCTTTAATCTGCTGAGCTATTTGACCAGCCCTAAAAGACAGTTTTTGATGAGGCACAGGAGGTCTGTAGGAGGAAAGGTGACTTTAAAGAGAAGGGACTGCAGAGGAGCCCCAGTGGTGTCTAGGAAGCTGGCCTGCTTGAGAGGGAGTGCTGGACCCACATAGTGAACGAGGCTGCCCGGTTCTCGCCTGGGTGCTCCAAGCTCCTCCTGCACCTGACTAGGAGTCTTGGGGATCAGGCTTTCTGTACCTTGGTGATCATCAAGGAAAGCTATTGCTTTTCTTTTGTCAAAGATTTGAGCAGATTGGGTACAGTACCTAACAAAACAACCTAGAATTGTAGTTTTCCATGTGACTTTGTCAAAAGAAATTTCTGAAAGTAGAAAGTACAAACTTTCTAAAAGACAAGAATAAATCAGGGAGCCAATAGGATTCTTAATGAAGCAACCATGTTTATCTCACGCACATGACATCCAGATAGTGGAACTTTGGGTGTCGTTTGTACTTTTTAACTCTTTCCTAGCGAAGGTCATAATGAGATGTCTCTTACACACAGAGATTGTTCAGCCGCTCAACTGCTA